TTGGAAGCTCAGGGCTCAAGAAGTGATTGCGAAATAGGAGATGATTTTCCAAAATTATTTGAAACAAATGCAAGCCAGCCCCTGCTCACGAAAAACAATTTCTTTTTACAGCTGGGAAATAAAAGGAATATTTATCCTGCACCTGCACCCTCAGCTCTGCAGAATCCAAATAAAGATACAATTCCTGGATTGGAAACTTTAAAATTTCCCGTAAATAGGAGAAGATTGAATCGCTGAGGTTGCTCGAGAGGCACAAGGATTTTGCAGGATTCTGTACTCCAAGGTGAGGAAATTCTGGTAAAACTTGGTTTGTTTTATGCAGGAGGGAGCAGCTATTCCGAGAGTGGGGAGCTGGGGATGAGCATGGAATTGGCTGGGAGAGCTGGACAGGGATGGAAGCACAAGGAAAGAGAGACTGACATGGCCGGAATGCTGCATCCACGTCTGGATCCAACAGCAGGATCCAACAGCTGGGAGCTGAAATCCAGAGAAATCCATGGAGCTGCTCCAGGGCTGGAGCTCCTCTGCTCTGGAGAGCTGGGAATTCCCAGCCTGGAGAAGGCTCCAGGGAGAACTTCCAGAACATTCCAGGGCCTAAAGGGGCTCCAGGAGAGCTGGAGAGGGACAGGGGACAAGGCCCGGAGGGACAGGACACAGGGAATGGCTTCCCACTGCCAGAGGGCAGGGATGGATGGGATCAGGGGAAGGAATTCCTGGCTGGGATGGAATTCCCAGAGCAGCCCCTGGATCCCTGGAATGTCCAAGGCCAGGTTGGACAGGGCTTGGAGCAGCCTGGGATGGTTGGAGGTGTCCCTGGACATGGAATGAGATTCAAGGTCCCTTCCCACCCAACCATTCCACAATTCCGTGGTTTGCTGCAGGATTTTGGGTGGTTTTTCAATCCAGCCCAGCACTCACTGAACTGCCTTAGCCTAAAAAAAAAACCCCAAATTTTGAAGTTTTGGCTCTGAACTCACTGTGCCCCAGGGCTACAAAATCACTTCTTGTTCTGCCAAAATCCACCATGGAAATCTAAAGCCTTGGAAGAGCTGCTGATCTCCAGCTTGAGGATCCAGCCAGCTGCTCCATGGAAAGAGCTCCCTAAAAAGCTGCAGAATTTGAGGCTCCCTGAATCTGAATTACTCACCCTGAGCTGCTTGGTGCAATTCATCCAAGTTAATCAACAAAACCCTTGGCCTCAAGGAACACTTTGGGCTCTTCCATGGCTCCAAACTGGGATAAAATCACATTTTCTCTGCAGGGAAAGGGCTCTGAGGAGGAACCTGCTGAGGCAAAAGGGCTCTGGACGTAGGAGGCAACGAAAATTAATCAGGACAAATGTTAATTCACGAGTTTTATTGTCTAGTGAAAACCCAAATATTCACTCACTTGTTACCCCTTCAGCTGGCTCTCAATAATTCTCATTTTTGCTGATGACTCCTCTCTAGGTTGCTTAAATCCACTTGCAAATCAAATCATTGTGACTCAACCACATTTTATTTTAAAAAAGAATCCAACTCTGAACTGGTTTTTGCTCCCAGTTTCCCTCTGAACGTTTCACAAAATCCCTCTTCTAAATAATTCACCAGCCCTACAATACAGATAATATTATCAGAAGCCCTGGTGCTTCCACACCTCAATTAAATCTATAAAATTAATGGAAGATACAATTCCGTGGTAGGAAAAAAAAACTCTCCACCATTTCCCAGCTGTGAGTGCCCAGGGAAATAATTTCTAGCTTTGGGAAATACAGAAATTACTTTTTAATAAAGTTATAAATAAATAACTCTTTTTTTTTCTTCTTTCTCTTTTTTTTTTGAGAGTTAATCAGAAATGGATTCAGCAATAATATTTGATAGATTTTACTTTTTTGAAGAGAAAGAGATGAAAAGCGGGGTTAGAAAGTGTCAGCGTGACAAAAATTGGGATGGAAGTGACCATCAGGGGTCGGTGCTTTTCTGTCCAGGTGGGATTGGAGGCAGGACAGGTTTGGAGTGGGAGCCTGGCTGGGATTGGAGCTGAGGCACAGAAGAAGAACCCAAATTGGCCTTGCTGGATTTCCTCAGGAAGTTCTCACCAGGCACAGGAGAAGAACCCAAATTGACATTTGTGGATTTCCTCAGGAAGTTCTCACCAGGCACAGGAGAAGAACCCAAACTGACATTTTTGGATTTCCTCAGGAAGTTCTCACCAGGCACAGGAGAAGAACCCAAATTGCTGGATTTCCTCAGGAGGTTCTCACCAGGCACAGGAGAAGAACCCAAATTGGCCTTGCTGGATTTCCTCAGGAGGTTCTCACCAGTCACTTCAGTCTCTGCAGGAATTATAGAGAAGGGAAGACGGTTTATTCCAGTGAAAAGTGAAAATTTACTAGAGATTTCTAGTGGTTTTGGGGGAATATCTCCACATCATCCATTTATGCCTAAATTGTCACTGTTTTGTTTTTTTTAATACTAATTTGGAATGTTGGGAGTGTCCAGCACTGGATAGGGCTTGGAGCAACCTGGAACAGTGGGAGCTGTCCCTGCCCGTGGCTGGGGGTGGAACTGGATGATCTTTAAGGTCCTTCCCAACCCAAACCATCCTGGTTCTGTAATTCCATGAATATCACTCCAACCTCTCGATGTGTCCACTCCTCTTCCAGCTCCTCCTGGCTCCTGCTGCTCGGCTCTGCCTTGTCCTGGGAGCTGCCTCCGAGGAATGGGAAACTTGGTCCACAGACTTTCGGTGAGAGCTGCATCAGGTGGGACAAAAACGTGTCCCCTGATATGCCCAAATTCCCTGAAGCTGAGGGGGGGTAAAAAGATTCCTGGTTTAAAAACAGGAGCAAAAAGAGGAAATTCTTCGTGTCTGACGGAGTTATTGATGTTGCAGTCGCACAGCTCAGCTGAGAGAGTGAGAAATAAATCCCAGCACTTCCCCATCCCACAAAACCTGTTCCCAATCCTCTCAGAACTTCAGGAGTTTGCAAAGACGACACCCACAGCTCCCAGTTTTCATTTCCTGATTTAATGAGGCTCAGCAGCAGGTGGGAGATCAGGATTGGAGTTTCCTGTTCCCAAACCTGTGGAGCGGCACCACAAGAAAGAATTCAGAGTAAATAAAAGAGGAATTTCCTTGAAAAGGTTTCTGGAACACCCCAGGGATGATGTAAACATTGAGGAGGCACCTCTGAGTTGTTTTATCTCCTGCAGAAAAACCCAAATTCCTTATCTGCACAAAATCCAGAGCCAAAATCTGAGAGCTCCGAGACCCTGCGAGCGATAACGACCCCGCTGGAGCTCCGATAACAACTTCCCATTCCCATCCAGACGTCATCAGCTTATTCCAAGGAAAGCATGGAAAAGGCCTGGATTGATAAAGGATTTCTCTGGCAGTGCTCCAGATATCCCAGAACGTCTCTGGTCTAGGCCAGCTCAGAAATTTAGGATTTAGGGATTTATGGATCTGGGAGGGAGTTCAAAGATTATCCACCCTGACCTCATCCACGGTGCAGAAATCCAAAAGAATTCCATCCTGTCCTGCTGGCATTTTAGCTTGTGGGAATTTAGCTGTGATTACAGGGGAGAAAAATATTTCAGTGGTGGCTTAATGAATCCACACATCAGGAAGAAGGGATCAGGATAAAAATGTGGAAATTCCATGCAAAACAGGAAAGTTTTTGTTACCAGAGGTACTGGGGAAGTCTTAGAGAATTTTGTTGCTGCCTTCAAGGGGAAGGAATATTTTATCCTGGAAAAGAAGTATTTTTTATTCCTGGAAAAGGAATATTTTATCTCATGAAAGGAGTATTTTATCCTGGAAAAGGAACCTCCCTCTTTTTCCTGGTTTTTGTCTATAAATGAGTTTGGATAATGTGAATTTAGTCCTGTCCTGAAAAGCTCAGCAGAGAGAATTATTAGAGGTGAAGCAGCCAAATTTTAGTTTTCCCTTTAGTAAAATTTCCCTTTTAGCTATATGGAAAAATAAATGAAAAATAGGAATAAAATAAAATAAAATAAAATAAAATAAAATAAAATAAAATAAAATAAAATAAAATAAAATAAAATAAAATAAAATAAAATAAAATAAAATAAAATAAAA